TTCAAACGAATATTGATGAAACTACTTACATAGACAATGACCTATGTGATGTTAATTATATGACATCACCACACAATTACACGTGTCCTATCGAAACCTCACTACAATACTGATTAATATATTGCTTCTGCGTGTTCGCTTCTTATTCATAATTTCTGGTATGCAGTTTGTGTCTGTCATGACCATCGACCATGGCATATATTTTACTATATTGCGTTATTCCTTCTTTCTGTTGATGTATATAATGTTCTATCTTTTTTTTTGCCCTGGCACATACTCCTCTCTTTACTTTTTTCATATCTCTCCGCTTCATTTTCAATACATCCAGTTCCGAGAAGACAAAAGGTCTGGTTGGAAAATAACTAGATTTGAGAGATAGTACGCATTGTCAGAGAAAAATATAAACTGTCCTGCTTTTTGTTTCTAAGGGAGAGTATATGTTCTTTTTCTTTTTTGAAGAATATAGTGTCGAGATCGAAGGAAAAAGGAATTAACAGTGTTATACAAACCAAACTCACGTTCATACACACAGCTTAGAGTATTAGCTTGTGGCGATTCACTTTACTGCTTCAGAGCTACAAATATTGAGATATCATTTGTCGAAATTTTTCTTTGATAGGTATCAAGCTGATCCGTACTGCTGTAAGAAAAACTAATAGTCATTGATTTTCAACTCTAGATCGATGTAGAATTACATTCTCTACAAAATGCCCTATTAAGTGTTGACTTTCGTAACTAAGAACAGCTTGCAGACTCTTATACAGTTTCCAACTTTCTGTTTAGTTGATGCCCTTCCATATCAATGTATCAATCCCATTCTTGCGTAGAAATGATTAGCTACATAGAAAAGATTGGCACTTATAAAAATCAAATCATTTTGAGCATGTTAAGTGCTTCCAAATAGGTCGACAAAAAACAATATAACAGCGTTACGTTTGTTTTTTGCATTTTTCATCTGAGCAAAGATGCTTTAGAGAAAGTCTTTTTTACTACCTAAAAGCCTGTTCGAAGCTCTACAAGACTGGTTCTAGGAGCATTTCATTTGAAGAAACAGTCTTGCAAGAAATAGGAGTTTTCTCGGCGGCACCAACGAAAAAGAGTCTTTTTATGTAACAGTGTTACATGATGATAAAACTTTTCTAGACGTCTGCAAGTTCAGCCAAAAAAAGGTCGTTCTTATAGGATAAATATAATTTGATAAGCTGTATGGAATGGTATTTGAGCGAACTCTCTAGCTCTTAAACCTTGAGAGATAATTGAACAAGATTATATCGAAAACGTAACAGCCTTACATTTGAATAAGCCGTATTATACAACTGCTCAGATACACAGCGCCATCGACCTCGTTTTTTATTTGGTCAATATGATTGGTTGATACAGCTTAGTTATTTGAGTGACTATGCAATATGCAGCTTCGTCATGTGAGTGATAGATATAATATATTAATTACAGTAGACAACATTTGATAAACACGATAAGGTCAACGAAAATTATGAAGGTTTCCTCAATGTGGTCGATGCTCGTTCGACAGTTCTCCTCGAAGGTGAGTTATTTTAAACTTAAACTGATTCAATTTATTTTAATCAGCTACATTTACGAGGGAAAATATTTAAGTGTCTCCCACCCACACAGTTGACAGTCATGTTACAAAATCGGTTTCTGAGATCTGAGCCTAAGTTGTAGCTGATCTTAAGACTGATATGATTCTGCGTGTAACTGCAGCTTGAGTTCTGATTGACAGCGACTAGCCATCTTGTAGCAGTGACTACAAAGTATGTAAAATAGATGAATATCATTGAGAGAGGATCCTACAATTAAAATGTATGTTTAAAACTGAAGATTGAATTATATTCATTAGATATTATACAGTTATTTAGTGTTATATGTTAACTATATACTGTAGACCTTTCAGACTTCCTGAAGGTCTTTTTACTGCAGTAGGACCAAAAACTTACTTGTAGTATGCTAAAAAATAACGATCAATGAATAATGCCATTCTTTTTCTAGATTTTTCCAGAATTTTTAATTAAATTTTAATTGACTATCTTATATAGCACGTCATTATGCACCCTTGGTAGATGCGCAAAAATGTTCACTTGAGCTCTTACTGAGATACGGTATCTCAAGAACAACCATCGATACAGACCCATTCAGAGTGACTTGTATAATAAATACTTGTCTTTTAGACCAGCTAGGTTTTCAATAGATAATACAAGCTTAAATACATGCATTTTTGAATTTCTACATCGATTATTTAGTGCTAAACATAGTTCATAGACACTTTTCACTTTAGAGTTCTCATATGGAAACCTTGATAACTCGTGAGGGAACTTTTCTAGCTGCTAAATCGTTTCCGGCTTTGGACTATATTCATTCTATGACTTTTAGCAAGTGTTGAAAAAGTCTAGAATGACTTGAGTTTCCAGACCTTCGTTCTTATGATATCGAACTTTTCAACAAACTCTGTAATTCTTCTCAGGTCACGTTCGAAACTGGCTTTCAAATTTTCACTTAAAACTTTGCACAACTAATACTTTTAATAGAACTAGTTCATTGTGAAAGTTTCATGTTTTTGTTGCTTTTATCACTTTTCAATATGCGTTTCTCAAGTCAGAGGCAACGAAGAAGACTAAAACATTCAAAACGAACTAGTTTTATTGAGAGCATTAGTTGTGCAAAGTTTCAAGTCTAAACCGAAAAGTCAACTTTTAAGGTGAGCTGAAAGGGACTACGGAGCTTTTTGAAAAATTTAGGAAAAAACCTATTTTTTAGAAATCTGACGATTAACAGAGGTTAGATGAGTGCAAATAATCTGCATCAAGTACAAGGCATAATTGCACAAAATACTAAGTAATTAGCTACAGTAATTGTAGAGATTTTTTCTGATTCCCTTTTTCTATGTACTGCGCCTCCTCCCCTCAGCAACGAAATGAAACCTAGCCGATTTTGTACAGAAATTTGCTGGTAAAGTCATAAAAAATGAAGTATCTTAGAATTAACTGCAAAATATCATGATTTGAATATCGAAATGGCTAAAAATGTGCTTACGTATTAGTTGACTCATTCCAGAACTAGTATCTTATGTCTGTTATTATGCAAATTAAGCCCCCCCCCACACCCCGTCAAAAAGTCACTTTTCACCAGAACCATTGAAACTGAGATAAATTCATGAGGAAATATCCCGTCATCTGCTCTCATATACGCGACAAAAATTTTTATTCGGCACCTCTTTTTCCAAAAATTTGGGAAGATTTCCCCCACCCCGTATTCGAAAAACAAGCCTTGTTTTCAGAAAGTAGGTTCAACGACGTATCTCCAGCAACACTATCACAGTAAGAGATAAAGACAAATATTCTTTGTTTGTTTGAAAGCTTGTGTTCAGGGCTAGCGACTCTCGTGACCCTTTTTTTAAATAAGCTTTTTTATTATCATAAAAGATAACACCTCTATCGGAACAGCGCAATTTTTAGAGAGGTTTTTGGAGTCATGGAACTTTCGCTCCGTTTGTTTCACTTAAAAAGTAAGACTTAAAAACAAGAGCCACGACACTCGCTGCATTCTGACATGCTCTTTCAAACAAAAAACAAAATTAAATGTCTAGAATGAAGGCCCACAGATGAAACTCGAACGTACGATACACCTATTTTTGGCCTTTGTTTGGTGAATATTTCTGTTAAACATCGTACTATAGGGCTGAAAATTTTACCATAGTCATGGCTCACCAGCCCCAACATATCCTGAAAGTTTCATGCCACTTGGATGTTCCTGGGCTGAGATCGATTTATGAAGGGAGTGCTTAGTCGAAAAATTTTGTTTATCAAAATAATCAGTAAAGAATTCCATGAAAAACATAATATTTTGCAGTTAATTCTAAATTAATTGATTTTTCATGAAAATATCTGGCTGACAAGAGAGTTACATTATATATATCACGGATTTGTTAAAAGATCGATCGATAGTAGTTAAGATATCGATATTTGGGATAAAAAAATTCTGTAAAAGACCAGTTAGTTCTCATCTAGTATTTAGAACAACAGTTAAATACTATTGTAGAAGCCGAATAGTCAACTCGACTTTTCATGCAGGTAGACGAGTGTATCGATGGTGAACAAATATCTAACTGAGTATCTCAAATGAGACTCATGTCAAAGAGATATGCACAAATAAGTCTATTTGCGTGATGGTTCCGTGAAACTGAAAAAACTCAACTATTCGAACTGAATTATCGTCGTATATATATGTCGTGCCGAAGTTACCCTGTTTGTCGAAGTTGCAACTTCGACGGAGAATTTTGTCGAAGTTGTAACTTCGACAGGCAATCTTGTCGAAGTTGTAACTTCGACAGGCAATCTTGTCGAAGTTGTAACTTCGATAGGCAATCTTGTCGAAGTTGCAACTTCGATGGCATATATTTATCGAAGTTGCAACTTCGACAAAATTGCCTGCCGAAGTTAACTTCGATAGAAAATATTGACGAAGTTGTAACTTCGATAAGGCAGAGTTATCGAAGGTGTTTGGATGAAGTTTAATACTAAAATTCTTGATCATTTGAACTATATTATTAAACTTGATAGTGACATGTAATTTTTCTACTACGCAAAAGACATTTATTTGACCGAATAATTCAGAATTTACAAACTGTTAAGAAGAATTTAGATTGTTCATACAGAAAGAATAGTAGAGTATGAAATATGAAAATTATTTATTGCCACATGTTGGTGAATGATGACATCGTGAATTGCATAACATTTGCTTGTTTACATTTGCCTCTATTTAACTTACAACCACCTTTACAATTACATTTTAATAGTCCTTGTCCACCATTTACGCTTTGAAGTCGAGCTATTTCTGTTAATGATTTTGGTTCGTCGTTTTGAATATCATGTATGAATAGTGTTGGTCAACCTGGTGCTTTACATACTTGATGATAACTATAGTTGGTACCGGTACCAGACGTTGATCGTGGTCCAACGGATGCACACAATATTTTAGCTGTTATAATGGAAATCGGACATGATAAATATAAATTAGGTACATAAAATGATGTCTTATCAGATTATTATAGTTATCATCAAGTATGTAAAGCACCAGGTTTACCAACACTATTCATACATGATATTCAAAACGACGAACCAAAATCATTAACAGAAATAGCTCGACTTCAAAGCGTAAATGGTGGACAAGGACTATTAAAATGTAATTGTAAAGGTGGTTGTAAGTTAAATAGAGGCAAATGTAAACAAGCAAATGCTATGCAATTCACGATGTCATCATTCACCAACATGTGGCAATAAATAATTTTCATATTGCATACTTTACTATTCTTTCTGTATGAACAATCTTAATTTTTCTTAACAGTTTGTAAATTCTGAATTATTTGATCAAATAAATGTCTTTTGCGTAGTAGAAAAATTACATGTCACTATCAAGTTTAATAATATAGTTCAAATGATCAAGAATTTTAGTATTAAACTTCATCCAAACACCTTCGATAACTCTGCCTTATCGAAGTTACAACTTCGTCAATATTTTCTATCGAAGTTAACTTCGGCAGGCAATTTTGTCGAAGTTGCAACTTCGATAAATATATGCCATCGAAGTTGCAACTTCGACAAGATTGCCTATCGAAGTTACAACTTCGGCAAAAATGTTGCCGAAGTTGCAACTTTGACAAACAGGGTAACTTCGACACGACATATACATGCCATGATATCGTGGTATCATTCACAAGATTTACTGTTGCTTATCTTGAGCTAATACTATCCATATTCTATTGAAAGAACAGATAAGTTGCATTTCGAATATAATTACTACCAAAGATAAGAACTTTCTCACTACAAATTAAGGAAAGTATTTGACTTTCGAAGTATGTTGGAGTCGACAATGAAGACGAGAAGTAGCAGAATATGAATCCTGTCTGTTGGAACAGATAATTGAAGTGGTTTTTATTAGATAATAACAGAATACATTGTTCTTTATCAGAGATTAAGATAGTTCGAGACGTAATTTCCTCTAACCAACCACAGGAGAAATATTAAGCATGTCTTTTTCAATCCAGTAAGACTGCATGTCATTAGCATAAAGTCGAACACGAGTCTTATGAAGGTAACTGGGCCATCTTAGTTTGATTCATTTTGGCATCGAGTTAAGGAACCCATCAACAGTTTTATTCGAGCAATATTTTTATCGTACTCTCGTATTAATAGATAAAGCCAATAGCTAATGAGGGACGACAACTACGTTACACGCTGCCCAATGGTAATTTCACATTGGAACAGCGTCAATTTTACGAAGACAATGGTTTCATCATCATACGAAAGCTTATTTCCCCTTCCACATTACAACAATTCCGGTAAGTGAAAAAAATCTCGAGAAACTCAATTGTCAGATATTGTATTTAGAAAACGATTCGAAGATGTTTGCGCGGGAAAAATTCAAGTGCCTGGTATGATAATAATGAAAGATGTGCACCATGCCAAGTCGAAATCGAATGTTGAAGAAAAAACTGTTAGCCGAATTCAAGATTTCACATTAGATAATGAGTTTTTCAAATATTGTTGTCTACCAGAACTTGTTCAATACGTTGAAAATTTCACCGGTCCTAATATAATGGCCATGCATACGATGGTGAAGTTTTCTTTTGATGTAAAAATACAATTATTTATTCTTTTTCTTCTAGTTGATTAACAAGCCACCAGATGTGGGAAAGAAAACATCCCGACATCCACTTCATCAAGATTTGTATTTCTTTCCATTTCGACCAGCCGATCGTATTGTATGCGCATGGACGGCAATGGAGCACACATATCGTGAAAATGGATGCCTTGCTGTCTTGCCTGGCACACATAAAGGTACACTGGAACAACATATATATCCAAAGTGGGAGGTAATGAATAAGAGCATCTACATTTTATCAAAATAAAGATACGATCTTTTTTTCTCGAAGGGAGGCGTCAACAAAATGTTTCGTGGTATTGAGAATTTTGATTCTAATCAAGAGAGACAATATTTAGAAATGTGGGAAGGTAAAGTTTCTACAACTTTTGTTATTATTTTGTTGGCATGTTTCATTTAGGTGATACAGTCTTGTTCCATCCATTACTTATTCATGGTAGTGGTACAAATCGAACATCAGGATTTCGAAAGGTATTTCAAGCAAGACTATTTCTTATCAATCAATCTATTTCTGATTGTCTAGATCATTACGTGCCATTATGCTGATTCATCATGTCATTATATTGAATTTGAAGATTTTCAAAAGCCTATGGCTAACGAATACAGAGATATGTATCGCAAACGAATAGATCTTCACGACACGACCATTCAAGTGAGTAATATGAAATTTTAAAATAGTTATTGGCTCCATATTTTCTGTATAGGATCTCTGGAAACATCGTAGTCGACTGGTCCAAGGCAAACGAGTCAATCTTTAAAAAAAACAAGAATTATTAACCTTTTACATCTAGAAGCACATTTGATTGATTCAATTACTCTGATCTCCTTTTTCTTTGAAATCAATAATCAACATTTGTACTGTTCTATAATAAGATAAAAATGAGCATTAATTTAACGAGTTCTTGTTTAAGATTACGGGATTTTGGCGATCAATTTTTTATACGCAGAGGCTAAATTAAATGTATACATCAAATAAATACTTGTGTAGACTATGATAAATGAAAACGATATTATCAAACGAATAACACTGATCATCAAAATTGTGTTGATCAATGTCAAAAAGACATTTTCAATAATGAATTATTCGAAAACTTCCAACAACTATTGTTTTTCTGCTGGCAACTGCCGAGTTAGTTTCAAGGTGTGTCTTCTATGAATTTTACGACTGAATACTGTCGATTGTTTAGTGAATGACTTAACAATGTTGACAATTGAACAGATCAGCTTGACGTGTTTACGAGAAGATTGACGAAGGTGCAAGGGTGTAAGGTGTGGGTGCAGATAGAATGTAATTGTTGGTCCTCTCTTCAACACATCAAATCCATGCTCCAATATGACGATGGTGTTGAAATAGATTTATAGTAGCTACGGTGAATTTAGAGAAGAGCTTACGCTTCTGTTTCGTAGGAGTTTTTTCCTATCGGGATTGGGGAAGCGGTAACTCAGCAAGGAAAATTACTAGATGGCTGCAACTTTTAGAATAGCAAATGATTTTAGAGTAGTGTTATTTGTAAAAGTTTCAATATTCGATGTCTTTTCTGGGCAGTGATATGAGTATTTCAATTTTCGGCGGCGTTCGCTGCAAAAAAGCAAAATTCGTCTCAGTTTGTTTTTTTTGAAAAATCATGCTGAAATGGAAAAGATTAACGATTTATCAAAGGTTTGATGTGCTTTACGTGGTTTCATCGAAAAGAGACGTGACTATTCGGAAGGTTTCCTTGTGTTTCATATTTAGGTTTTTTGATCAACTCTTTTCTTATTCTTATGATACATCTTGTCCAGAATGGTGTGAACTTGATCCATCTAGGCTAAATTAATTAATCATTTGCTAGCAACTCAACAAAAGTTAGAAAGACATACATTTTGTTTCTGAATCTGTAATTCCATTTGCACAAGACGATAGTCTTTTTTGAAACAACAAAAGGAGATTTGTAACAAAGACAAGGTATTTCTTGAGTTGAAAAGTCAATCAGATGTAGAGCAGTGGTTCTTGGTGAACGCTTTTATAATCATTTCAAAATTGTCATCATTTTATTATTTCAATAATGTGACAAGAAATGTATATATCAATTCTTATGAGAGCCAGACATACAGTATGTGCTCTGCAGATTTTATAACTACTTTGTATTCGTGGATTTTGTTTAAACCAAATCACTGACGTCGCTTTTCAGTGACAGAGTCACGATGGTATGGATCATCTGATAGCGAATCAGAAGTTTCAAGACTAGGTAGAAAAATATTAATAATCAACACTGAAGTATCAAGACAACAGTCGAAAATGAAAGAAGTTAGACTAATGTCGATGTATATTTTAGAGGGATATACAGATCATCTTTGATTAGGTCAAGCATATTCAGCCATTAAAAAGTTTGACTGAGTATTAGATTATCGAATATTGTGGGCAAAACTTTAATGAACTACTCATAACAAGTTTTGTCACATTTGGACATGCTCTATAAGAGAGATGATAAAAACGCTGTGTACTGAATATTAGACAAACTCTGTGACTTCTATGAAGGTCTAGCAAGCTAAATTTTGTTTCTAGTAAATCAACATTAAACGTTGCCATTGCTTTGGAATTAAAAAATAAGATTTATAAGATAATAAATACATGCAGTATGGTTTTTGCTTGGCAAACTTAACTATCGAATATGCTAAAGGAATATGCTCACATGAACATTGTGTATTAGACATGTAAGAAATATGATAAACTCTTTCAAAATCATTAGACTCAGTTTTATAATATCTTGAATGATCTGATGTACCATATATCGTAAGAATTCCTATGTGAAAAGTTATCTTATGTATTATTTGAAAGGTTAAATTACACTAAAATTTTATCAAAAAAAAATCTTGTTTATTTTTGCTGAAATTTGCTGACTCATAGTCTAGATAAGAATTCATACATTTTCGAAGCTATTCCAAGTCGTATTACATGATTTTTATTATCTTGAAGACAATAAAGTCTTACAACAATAATGTGGAACTCGAAAATATGAAGGGATACTGGTGTATGCATTTTCAACTATCATGCATATATACATTCACAGAACCTATCAACTTTGACCAAGAATTACTAAATAAAATCGACATCTATAATAGATCAGATTTTATTTTAACTTGAACAAGATAACTATAGGATTCGTAGCGCATAAGTAGAAAAGCTTACAGTGCAGTGTTGGTATGAGTATTCTCGTCGTCCACATCTCACAACCGCACCTCTTTTTTTTTATTTCTTTCGCATAATTTTTTCTCTCTAGTCATTTAATAGTAGCCATAAATACCCGTGCATTATAATTAGTTTATCATTTGTAAGTATACTCACTTTCAAGTAATATATATGGCTCGCTTCAAGCTTGAGTCTTTCTTGTTGTTCGCAAATAGCATTCAAAACATGTAGTCTGTCAAACATCCATTGATATAAGCGCATATTTGCTGTTCGTATGGTTCAAATCAAAAGTTCCTTTCCTTCTTGAGGGACACGCGCTGATGTAGTCTTCAAACATATTCTAAAGTCTCTAAATAGTGACGGAAGCAACATGATGGATCAATAGATTCTCACGTCCATTACGTCTTGTACGTGCGCCATGTGGGTCGGCCCACTGCGTACATGACCAGGCGGTCACTTCCGCAATACTGACGGCGCTTTCTAGTCCCACAAGTGTGCATGTAAGAGTATTGTTAAAAGCGAGGAGAGGAGAAAGAAGAGAAGTAGCAACAGCTTTAAGAGAATGTTTTTCGAAAAAAAAGAAATTTATTATCTCAAAACACACGAAAAGAAAATCGAAGAATAAAACTCATTTCTCTATTAAGCACAAAAAAAAACAATCGAAATTGTTTTCCGATTGAGAACCGTTGAATTCTATTATTCCCATACGCGACAATACACAGATTGCCATGTCGATCGACTGAAAAAATCTGTGAGCGATCCAACTGGTTTGTTTTTTCTCCTAAATTGTTGCCACCAACAATTACATTTACCTGTGCCACTTCCTTGCGCCAACACGTCACTCGATGGTTTGATCCATCTGTCACATAGACTATGTCCAACGTATCGACAAACACTCCTTTGGGGGTCGAAAATTGATTCAGAGCATCCCCATAACCTTGATCGCCATCTACAACAATCCGTTATTTCACATCCTTCATCCATGTCACCACATGATGATTGTTCCAATCCGATACGTAGACAGAATAATCTCGATCAACAAATGTGAAGGCTAGCCAGTTAAGCTGATTGAAACAATCATCTTTTCTATTGCCACCCGCCACTACCATTCCATTCGTCGCTTCGATATCATATCATTTCACTTCATCCTTTTTGTAATGATAGCCGTAAAGAAATCTCGGATTGTTCATTGTTAATCCGAAACAATCGATATTCTCGATGATCAGTTCTCTGCTTGTTCGATTTCGACGAAACCATCGCAACACTCGTCGATTGCCTTGATCGCCAATGACGAGACTGTGTGTTTCTTTGCCAACAATCACATCTATTGGATAATTCAACTGATCAGTTCGATTTCCTTTTCCGTTACCACCGGCTACTACTTGACCACTGTTTGCATGTGGCTTTCATTCCATGATACGAGGATCATCTGTGGCAGCGGTGTAAACAGTTTGATCATCATCCACATAGGAACCCTAGGTGTCAACGAGTTGTCTCAATCGGTTGCCTCTTCCGTAGCCTATAGTGACAGTCACTCCGTTCTGTGGCCACCTGGTATTTGCAGAAATATTCATGATGGTACCAGCATACAGAAAGACAGAAAATTCTCGATAAATTTTAGCTTATACCAGTGAAATTTACATGAAACTCGGTTGAGATTTTCCAGAATGTCTTGGAAACCTCTACAATTTTGGCGAATTATCCAAAATTTTCACAAACCAGTTTCGTATTTTTTTATGTGATTTTCTACCTATTTCTCAAAATCTATGAGCATTGTTAGATTTGTTGAATTCTTTTTCGAGGACTTTTCGGAATATACGAAGTTTGCTTCGACATTGAATAGTTTTCGAGATTTCTGCAAGATTCCCTGAAACTATATATAACTTTTTTGGAACCTTGCTTGGTTTCAAACTTCGTCGGGATCATGGGTATTTCCGATTCACATGACGAAAAAATATGCACTTCAAATAACTTCTATGTTTTGTGAATTGAATGTTGGCACCCACTGATTTTAGAGAACTAGAAAATTACAGTGAAAAACGGTCTCTTGCTTCAACTTCCTAAACCAATTTATCCCTAAAAGTTATAGATTTTGTTATTCGGCCGCTTGTGGAAAGTTTCTGAAAGAGAACAAAATGCCCATAAAGATATTGCCAATTGCTTTATCCATGCCTGGGATAGCTATTTTCAAATTCTTTTCCTTGCCTAAACTCATGTTGATGATTTTCAGCGCTTCAGATATAGTGGTCGAAACACTTGCAGTTGCGGATCCAATTGCATCAGATTGTTCATCATTATCTTCAATAATTTCTTTCAAATGTATAGTATGTAACTCACCATGATGATATAACAGATCTGATACAACTTCAAACAATGTACCTAGCATTAGAATAACTTCATTTTCGTTCGGGTAACATGTGTATGATCAAAGTAATTTTCTAGTATATCACTTAATACTGAATAGCCTACTCTGAGGAGATTTCGTGGTACACGATGAAATAACATAAACGAATGCTGAACACGAGCTCACACCCGAGCAAGTTATTCTCTGACCTGTTATGAATGTCCGATTGACATCTTTGTTGACAC